ACGTCTCCTCCCTCCTCGCCTCTCCTCTCCTCTCCTCTCCTCTCCTCTCCTCTCCTCTCCTCTCCTCTCCTCCTCCTCCTCCTCCTCCTCCTCCTCCTCCTCCTCCTCCTCCTCCTTCCTCCTCTCCTCCTCCTCCTCCTCCTCCTCCTCCTCCTCCTCCTCCTCCCTCCTCCTCCCTCTCCTCTCCTCTCCTCTCTCTGCTCTCCCCATCCCATTTCCTCATCTCCTTTTCACCTCCTCATACCTCGAAGAACCTTGCATTCTGGGTATCGCAAGAGGACAACTTCATTGCCATCTCAGCTCTCATCATGTGGCTCAAGGTAGCTCGCTTCTTCACTCCTGCTCCTGATTGTCTGCAGCTCCTCAAGTTTGCTCGCCTGACCACCCGCCTCAACCGTATCGCCCACACGGTGAGTCGCCTCCCTCTCAGTGCGCAGACCTCACGGTTGGAGCAGCTCAAAAGAGCCTTTCCGGACGTGATCGCCTTCGTCTTTATCTTTCTGGTGTCGCTCTGCTGCTGCTGCTGCTGCTGCTGCTGCTGCTGCTGCTGCTGCTGCTGCTGCTGCTGCTGCTGCTGCTCATTTGTTTCGCAGGTTGCATGGGTCGCTTACTCCATAACTGGCGTCCTCATCCTCGGCAGTGACTTGCCTGAGTCTGTCGCGCTCCTCCTCATGCCTCTGGTCTTGACGTCTCCTCTCCTCTTAGGTACAGCGACTTCCTCGGAGCCTTCGGAGCAAGTTTCAACGGTTAGCCGCAACTCAGTTGAGCTGTGCTGACGTCCATCAGCCATGTTCGGCAACTTCGACGCTCAGAGGCTTTACAACGCCAACCGTTTCATCGGGCCCTTCTACATCTTCTCCTGGTCGGGTCGCGGTCTTCTCCTCCTCCAGCTCATCGTGCCTCAGGCTCGCCCTCTCCTGCCTGCTGCTGCTCAACGTTCTCCTCGCCATCCTCGCGCATCACTTCTCAGCTGTCTGCTGTGATCGTCCTCCTGCCTCCTGCAGCTCTGCTGACACCTCGTGAAGCTTCTCAGGACCTCGATCTTCCCATCCTCAAGGAGGTCTGCCACATCTCCAGCTCCTCCCCTGCTCACCAGTGCATGCAGTTGGAGCTTTGGAGGAGGGCGTCCTCGGCCAAGAGGTGAGTTCTGCCCTCAACGAGCCGCAGCTGAAGACTCTCTCTTCCTCGTTCCCTGCTCGCCTTCTTTCTCCTCCTCCTCGTGGACGGGTCAACACTTCCAGACGGATCCATCCCAAGAAATACGAGCGACCTAAGTCCTCCCTCTTCCTCCTCGTCCTTCGCTCTTGACCGCTCGCAGGAGCGGCGTCCCGATGACCCCGACCAAGGAAGCGGATCCTCTCGACCATGTCAGCGTCTCTCTCCTCTCCCGTCCCCTCACGTGCTGCAGGTCGACGCGTCCATCGTGGACACTGTGATGGTGTGAGAGGAGGGAGAGAGAGCGCGGGGGGCTGACACGTCTCAAGAATCGCATGCGAGCCATGGAGGACGGGGGAGCTCGAGGAAAAGCCTTCCTCGAGTACTCGCTGGACAGCGACGAGGGGCTCTTCTCTCCCGAGGACAGGCATGACGCGCAGGAGCGAGGGAATCGGATCTTGTCGGATCAGATCGAGCAGCTCAAGCTCGCAGTGCACAAGATAGTCAGCTCACAGGCGATTCTCTCCTCTTCTCCTCTCGCGCAGGCTGACCGGTCAGCAGGACCTCGTCTCATCCAAGGTCGACGCGCTCTCACGCGAAGTCTCCAAGAACCTCTCCTCCAGCATCGAGATGCGGCGGCAGGTCTCGGATACGCTCACGGACACCGACTGGGCCAACGAGCAGGTGAGGAGCGGAGGAGGAGAGTGCGGAGGATGACGTGCGGTGAGAAGGCGACGTCTGGCTTCGTGAGCAGCACAGACATGGGTAGCAGCTTGAGGAACAAGAGCTCCGCAGTCAGCCTCTTCGCCGGCAAGGAGCTCGTCAACGATCTCTAAAGCCAGTACACTTCCAGCTGTAAACTTTCAGCCTTTCTTCACGAGGATCTTGCGAGCGTCAGCAGTGGCAGGAGAGCGACCAGGAGGAAGCTGAACTGCGAGGAGGCAGCTGAGCCTGTGCACGGCGCGCCGAAGTAGAGCAAGCCTGCGGCGGAGTGAGAGAGACGCGGCAGGGTCGAGTGACAGACCCGAACGTCCTCCGTCAGCTAGTTTGTTGTCGGCCTCGCAGATGTAAGCTTTCGACCAAAGGTCGTACTCGATGCCCCTGCAGCTCCTCTCACTCCCTCTCACGCTCTCCCTCTCTTACGAGTATGCTGCTGTCCATGTCGACGCGCTCTTCGACGCGTACATGGAGGGCGGCTGGGCAAGCGGTCGCTCAGTTCACCGATGCAGCTCATGTGGGCGCGTACCAAGATAGAGCGATCAGGCGAGCATGTCCGGAAGCAGTCTTTGCACGTTTGCCTTACAAGCATCATGCACCTCACATGCGAGCGAGCGAGCAGACCTGCAGACCGGAAGAGGAACGATGTTGGTCGTGTCGCACTTGGGGAAGCTGAGAGCGCAGGCATAGTTCTTGCACCAGCTCTTGCCTGTGATCGCACTCTGGCCAGACATGCCCGTGAGTTAGCACAAAAGAGCTTGGCGCCCTCACGTCGTCACATCCTAACGTGTTCTTCCATTGCGTGGCCTGAGCTTGAGCCTGTTCCCACCTGCATCACCAGCAGGCCGAGCAGCTTCTCACTTGCCTGCTGGTCCAGCTGCAGCCAGTAGTTCACGTCCGTCCGAGCGCTTTCGTAGAGAGCGTAAACCTGCGGCAGTCACGAGAGGAGGGGAAGGGGTGAGACGTCACTTGATACGAGGGCTGACAGTAAGGAGCCCAGGAAGCCTGAGGAGAGATGCAGACCCCCGAGTCAACGACCTGAGAGACTGACATGCTGCCATGAGGACTCAAGTCGACGAGGTTGCGCAACAGCAAACCTGAGCTCAACAGCAGCAAGAGAAACCAAACTCTTTCAGTCATGCTTGCAGGTTTCACCAACGTCGTCGAATTCAACATCCATCATGCATCCATACGTTGAAATACATCGCCTACATTTCACCATCACCTCATTCCTGAAGTGCATGCTTGTTGAAAGAACAAATGTTTGACCGTGCTGCGTTGTAGAGTAATGATTCATGTAGAATTATGTTTCATGATGTAAGTTGTACTTCATTTTAGCTTTCACATGTGAACATAAAATCTCTTCATCTCAAAGGTCCTCCCCTTCCTCGCTCCCTCCCCTTCTCTCCCCTTCTCTCTCCCTCCCCTCCCCCCCTCCTCCTTCCCATCCTTCCCCTCCTCCCCATCCTCTCCCCTCTTATCGGTAGCAACCGTTTTCCCACCCCTCCCCTTTTCCCTTCCCACCCTCTCCTGTAAAATTCACCCCTACACCCGTTCCCCTCGTACCGATCCATCCTCATACCCTTCCTCCCCCTCTCCTCCTCTCCTCCTCTCCTCTCCTCCTCTCCTCTCCTCCTCTCCTCCTCTCCTCCTCTCCTCTCCTCTCCTCTCCTCTCCTCTCCTCTCCTCTCCTCTCCCTCCTTTCCTTCGACCATCCTCCTCCTCTCTGCCTCCACTACTTTCCTCTTCTCTTCTTCTTCCTCCTCCCGCAGGTCCCTCTCACTGCTCGGTTCGCCTTCAGCTCTGCTTTCTGCTTCGCCTGCTGTGCCTTCTCTCATCCTCTTCGTCTTTCCTGCTCTTCCATCTTCTCAGATGTAGAGGCTCTCCCCTCCCCCAGCACGGCATCACTGACGGCACCGGCCCACAAGGGTTAGGAGAGGGTCGACTCCCCTCCTCTTGCCGCTCATGGACCCTCATCTTCGCAGAGCTCGTCCTCGCCTTCATTCCACCGCCTTCGAGGACGCGCAAGAGGCAGCAGCTGCATGGCAGCGTCCGAGGTCGTTCTCAGTCGCGCTGGAGCATGCTGCTCACCCCGCAGGCTTGCTGGGAGCTCAGAACCGGGTGAGGGTGGAGGCGAGGGCGGCAAGAGGGTCGGTAGCTCGCAGCAAGGAAGACCACGACAAGGTCGTGAGCAAGTTCCTCGCTCTCAAGGATGACCCCCTCCACCTCCTCGGCTGCGGCTTCAACGCCGGACACGCCAAGCTCATCGCCACGCTCGCGTCGCTGCAGACTCTGAGCGAGGGCGACAGGTTTGCGAGGCAGGGAGACGTGTGTCAGAGCACAGCGATCCTGATAGAGGGCCGTCTCGCCGCTCTGATAGGGGGGGTGGAGGTGCACGAGTGGAAGGAGGACGCGAGCATCGGAGAGGGCGGACTGCTGGGGGAGCAAGAGAGGTTCTCGTTCGACGTGGTCGCCAAGGAGAAGACGCTCGTAGCCTTCCTGCCCCACAAGAAGTTTCAAAGCTTCATCGCCGACCTGCCCAACTTCGAGCAAGTTACCGCCTTCATCTCGTCCACGCAGCTGCAGAGTCAGCTGGAGTTGGAGCAGAAGAGGTTGACGCATGCAGCAGCTGTCGTCATTCAGAGCAGCTTCCGCTGCCACCTGTCTCGCTCGAGACTTCAGACCAACTTCCCTTGCTCGCGCATCGTGAAGATGCTGCACATGAAGCAGATCGCCCGAACTCGAAGCCTCAACCTCGAGGACTCCAGCGCCCTCACCCTTCAACTCTCCTTTCGCTGTCACCATGCAAGGAAGCTCTTCGTGCAGAGGCTGCTGCTGAAGCTCAAGCGAGTGCGTGAAAGCTCTGTGCTTCTCGAGAAGTTCGCGACCTGCATAGAGTATGAGACGTTGAGGGGACGGCGAGAAAATCAGCCCGGGACGTCGCAGGCAGGTGGACATTCGCTGAGCGTGGCCTTCAACGAAAGCCAGACGAGAAAAGCAAACATCATCAACCGATGGAAGTTCGCGATGCTCGGCAAGTGCGTTCAGAACTGGAGGAACTACACGGATCGCATCAAGGGAAGGAGCGGGTGTGCGCTGAGAGTGATGAAGACCATGCGGCACGGCAACATCTACCAGCACTTCTTGCGATGGAGCGACAGCATCAAGCTGAGAGGAGACTTGGTGACTCCCTTCCGAGCGAGGGCGGACATGAAGGTGGCGCTGACGGAGGAGGGTAAGGAGTACGAGTTCAAGCATGGCCGGCGACTCGACGGCGACACAGGCCTGGGGCTTCTGGTCCGTCCAGTCCTGCAGGACAAGAGCATGTGGGAGGTGCGATGGGTCAGCTCGGGGCTGCGGGGAGTCTACCTGACTGGCTCCCTCGGCAGAAGCCACTTGCGGTTGTGGACGGAGGCAGCGCGACCGAAAGAAGCGGAGGAGGGGAAGCGAAACCTCGAGGACTACAGCAGGTTGAGCGCAGTCAAGGACGCGCTGAGGGACGGCAAGGGCGCGTCCGTGTCAGGCTACGTCACCCCCGCCATGGCCTGCCACCTGTCGCTCGCGTGCCCCGAGGGGTCGGGCTGGTCGATCGACATCGAGTTTCCTCTCAAGGCCGTCAAGGTTGCGAGCCTGGTGCACGTGCAGGCGGTGGAAGGGAGCGAGACCTCCTCGCTCGACTCAGCCTACGGCAAGATCGTCAGCCCTCTCGTCTACGTCTCCTCGGCTCAGCACGTCTCCCTCTCTCGCTCCTTCTCGCTTCGCATTCCCCACCGCTGCTCCAGCTTCAAGTTCCTCTCCCTTTACTTCTGGCCTGAAAATCGACCTGTGGCCGACCGAGTCTTCGACGGCGTCAGCTTCGACTCGGACTACTGCAAGGCGACGGTCGACGCCTTCGGGCTCTACGTCGTCATGTGCTCGCAGGCCAACGTGCCGGACCTCGTCTTCGGTCTCCTCGACTTCGACAACAAGGCGCAGGACCGGCGAGGCAAGACGCTCGTCCGAGCCAACATGGGCTCCGTGTTCTCCGGTCACGTCGACTTGGTTCCCAAGGCCTTCCTGTGCCGCCATCCAGTGCCGACGGCGAGGCAGTGGGCGAGCATGACCTCCTTCCAGCTGCAGCGCGACACCGTCCTCGAGAACGTCGTGCTCTCCATCGTGTCAACGTCGGTGGAGGGCTTGAGGATCAACAGCTGGAGCAGCACCCGTCGATGGCTCGGCGGGAGGCTGCTGCTGCCCTTCGAGGCGATCGTGCAGGTCGACAAGGGCGCGTTCATTCCCCTGCACCAGCCCAGCATCACCTGCCAGTGTGTGGTCTACGGCAAGAAGCACGTGGCCCTCAAGTTCGACGGCCCCAGCTGCTTCCGGCTGCAGGTCGAGAGCGCGAGCCTCAAGGTTGTAATACCCGCGAACAAGGACTCGGAGGTGGAGGCGTACACGCGCATGCTGGAGGGGCGGGAGACCATGCTCGACATCCGCAAGTGGGTCGCCAAGTGCATGACAGGCAGCAGGGTGGAGAGCAGGAGTGTGCACTGGTTGTGCTCGCTTCGCTTCAAGACGAGCAGCGGGGACGTCTTGTCGTTGCAGGAGGAGCATCTCGAATCAGCTGCTCTCCTGCTCCCTTGCGTTCACATGATCCACGTCAGGCCAGGCACCGGAGACTACGGCAGCAAGCAAGACGTCAGAGAGCTGCAGGAGACTCTCCTGCTCGACCTGCAGGTCACTCCTGACAAGACGCTTCTTCCCTCCTCCCATGCTGCCGCCCATGCCAGTCGTCACACCCCATTTGTTGGTCGCCCCCCTTCAGCCCATCAAGATCGTTTCATATCCACAGCAGCCTCGTCGCTTCTCAGTACCCACCAGGTTCTCACCTCAGCTGGTACTCAGCTGGCTTGGCATGCCTCTCCTCCTGGGTCGGCACGGGAGCAACCACCGAGTTTCTCAGCTCGCCACAGAAACGTTCGCCAGCATGAGCAGGAGGAGCTGACGAGCGCGTGGACGGGCAAGAAGACGTTGGGGAGGCAACTGCAGACGCGGAGGTGGACGGCAACTCCCTCGACTTGTGTGAGCGCCGACAAGACATATCAGAATCTCATGCAAGACATCAGAGAAGAGAACCTCACTAGGTGACCCAACTCCTTCTGCTCCTGGTGGTAGTGGTGGTCCTGCTGCTCCTCCTGCTGCTCCTCCCGCTTCTGCTTCTGCTCCTGCTCCTGCTCCTGCTCCCATCATGAATCTCTCCTGCTCTTGACGAGATAATCTCTCGCTCTCTCGCCTGCTCAACTGCCTCTCGCTCAGGTCGCTTGCTCAAGGACCATCCGTTGCTCGTCCTTTCAGGTCTCAGCTCAACGTCGTTGCCTTCCGCGCTGACTTGACAGCAGGAGGAGACCGCACACGGCACGCGCTGGCGTCGGTTGAGCGGAGGAAGAGGGCGATCTATCGACAGCACACTTGCGACATCCACTGAGCCTCGATGTAGAGGAGGGGAACGAGGCGTCGCAGCGGGCAGGAGAGAGGCGGCCAAGGCTCACGCTGAGTCATCGGCTTTGAAACTTTATTACATGCACAAGAATATTCACAGCAGCAGCGACCAGATGTCACTCGGGAGAAGAGTGGCCGGGAGACCTCGAAGCTGCTCGCTCGTGGAGGTCAAGGAACTTCTTCTGCAGAGCTCTGTGCTCCTTGTCGAGCTTCTCCAGCAAGACAGACAGCGACGTCACCTCCTGCTCCCTCTGAGGTCAGCGCGACTGCATCAAACCCGAAAGCAGACGAGGTGCCAGGGGGAGGGAGGGAGGGAGGGAGGGAGGGAGGGATGGAGGGAGGACGAAGCTGAGGGTTAGTAAGAGGAGGGTCTGTCCAGTCTCACCTCACGCAACTTGGAGCTTTCGAGCCTCAAGTCCTCGGAGAGGCTGGCGAGCTCCTCCTTCTCCTTCACCGTCGCTTCGAGCTCATCCGACAGCTCCCTCACCCTCTGACTCAACTTGCCTTCACTCTCCTTCACCAGTTTGTACTGCACAGACCGTCACCTCCACAGACCACCGTCACCCTCCCTGAGTCACACCTGATGATGAGTCCGTTCAAGCTGCTCCTCGGTGCGACGAAGCGCCACTCTCAGCTCCTCCTTGTCGGCCAGGTGACGTTCTAAGGACGAGGACGAATGCCTCTCTGCGCTATCCATGCTCTGCGCTCGCACCTCGTGCTTTCTCAGCTGAGTCTCCAGCTCAAGGACTTTGCGCTCGTTGTTTTCAGCTTCTGTCTGCATCCTCTGCAGCCTCTCCTTGAGGTGCGACTGCTCCTCCCTCTTGGCTTGCAGCGCCTTGTCCTGTCGCTCCACCACCCGCTGCAGCTCCTCCACGTTTGCCCGGAGGGAGGAGATCTCGTCGCTCATGCTCTCTTCTTCCATAGACTTGCTCGAGATGAGCCTCCTGTGCTTCTCCAGCTCGAACTCCAGCTCCTCCCGCCGGCTCCTCAGCAGTCGCAGCTCTTGGGCATTATGCTCGTTCTCGGTGACCACCTTGTGCAGCTTCTCTTGCAGCTCAACGTTGTCCGTGGACTTCTCTCTCTCTGCCTGGAATGCTGCATGCTCCTTCACCCGCAGCTGCTGCATCATCCCTTCCAGTTCTCCTCGCCTGCCTCGCTCTTCCTCCAGCTGACTTCGCAGAAAGTCCTTCTCTCCTCCGACCTGGTCCAGCTTCACTCGCAGTGCCACAATCTCATCTCGCAGCAAGCATCCCTCCTTCACGCAGTCTTGCTTTTGCTTCTCTAGCATCGCTGCCATCCGCTTGCAGGCCTGAAGCTCCTCCTGGCTGCTACGCGAGTTCATAGCCTCTGCCTTGCTTCGATTCTGCGCGTCCAAGAGTCTCTCCGACAGCTCCTCCTGCTGTCGCTGAACTCCCTTGCACTGCAGGTGCAGCCTGTGCATCTCCTGCTCCATCCCTGCGTTGGCCTCACGCAGCCTCATCACCTCCTCCTCCCTTGCGTACACGTGGGCTCGGATCTCACTGCACTCGAGGGAGTATCGCTCGCATGCTGCTTCAGCTCGCGTTTTCTCCTCGTTGAGAGCCTTGTAACTCATCAGGATGTCTTCTTTCTCTCTCTCGCAGCTCTTGAGCAGGTGCTCCACCACAGCCACGCGGTTCATCACCTCGTCGAGGTCTCTCTTGAGGCAGTCCCGTTGCGACACCACGTGCGCGAGCTCGTCATTCACCACTTGATTCTCCCGCGTCATCGCGTTGAGGTCCGACTCGAGGGTGCCGACCTCCTGCCTCGTTCCCTCCAACTCCGCGTGCATCCTCCTCTTCTCCGACCCCTCCACCTCCAGCCGCTGTTGCAGCAACGAAAGCTGACCGTCTCTCTCCTCAAGCGCGTCTCGCATCAAGTCCACTTGCTGCCTCAAGCTCGAGACGTTAGCAACATTCTGCTCGTTGCGCTGTGTCAGCTCGCCCACTCGCGATTCTTGCTCGCCGATCCTTGAGCACTTCTCGTCCAGCTGAGCAACGAGGACGTCGCGCTCTCTGTCTACTTCAGCTATCATGATCTTCATCTGGGAGAGCTCGAGCTCCACACGCTCTAGTCTTCCCACCAGCTCCTCCTTCTCTCCCTCCAGACTGAGATTTCTTCCTTGCAGAGTCTCCATCTCCTTCCTGTACGACTGAATCTGCAGTGCGGCGTTGCCCTTGGCTTCATCCATGTGGCTCATCAACGTCTGCAGCTCCTTCAGGGCCTCGTCCTTCCTGGCAAGAGACTCCAGCAAGCTCTCCATCTCTGTCTGCAACTCCATGCAACGTTCCTTCTCGTCTGCTAGAAGCTGCAGAGAACCGGTTGAACCCTCCACCAGTGTTTTTACACGCTGATTCAAATCTTCAAAGGTAGTACAGACGAACTCAAGGGACTTCTCCGATTCGATCATCAGCTTCTCAAATTGATTTGAAAAATCTTCCATCTTGCCGTCTTGTTGGACCGATTGTTTGCTAGTGAGCAACCGGACTTGTGCTTCCAAGGACGTGATATACCTTGCACACTGTGTCAGTTGATCTTCCCTTTCGTGCAGACGGTCGGCAGTTTGTGAGCACAGCAAGCTCTGTTCTTCCCTCTCTTGTGCCAATCCTTTGATTCTTTCTTGCACCACCGCCATCTGGTCTTCAAAGTCCATGACAACAGCATACAGGTTGTCCCGCAATCGCTTCATTTCCGCCAGCTCTTTCTGCAGATTTCCTACATCTTCAATACTTGTCCGGTGCTCTTGGGTGACATGGGCCAGTTCAGCAAGAAGTTCCTGCTTCTCTCCCATCACTGCCTCGAGTTTCTGTGACAGGTCATGCTTCTGAGCCTTCAAGTCTTCCACTGCTGACTCGAAGCTCCAGCATTTCTTATCTCTTTCGTTGGTTTCGTACCTCTCATGGATGACGTTCTCTTTTTCGTACTCATGCGCGAACCGCAACTTTGTGAGCTCCTCCTCGGCCTGAGCCACTTGCTCGTTCAGGTGTCTGTTCTTCACGTTGAGTTTGCGGTTTTCCTCTCTCACTCCCTCGAGATCTGATTTCAAAGACTCACCAAGAGCTACTTGCTCGGACAAGAAGTCAAGTTGTTGGTTCAATCGCTTAATCGTCTCATCCTTCGTGTCCACCTGCTTTTCAAGGTATTCCTGTTCAGAGTTGATGTTCTGAGAAAGAAGCTTCCCCATTCTCAGAATCTCTTTCTCGCGATTCTTGAGCTTCAGTTGCAGCACATCAAGTTCGGTCTGAAGCTGAACTTGTGTGCTGGCAGACTCTTGAAGCTTCTCTTCCAACATGAGGATTTGTTTCGCAGTTGCATCATGCAAATCAACAAATTCTTGCTCAACGGCATGGTCTATTTCAGGTTGAGGAGGACTTGGGTTTGCACTCATTGAAATCTCCATCCCGATTGGCACACTCTCTCCTGAATTGCTTGCAGTATAAACCCAGTGGTTGTCAAGGAGACTTTCAATCCTCTCCTTCTGTTCCTGCACCTTGCCTTCAAGGCTATGGATATGCTTGGCTTGCTCCGATATCATGAACTGCTGATCTCGAATTTTCCCCTCGTATTGCTTGGTGCTGAGTTTGTGCTTGCTTTTGAGGGCCTCAGACTCTTCACCACTCTGTATGAGCTCTAGATGGAGCTGATTGTTCTCTCTCACAAGACGACTTATCTCCTTCTGAAGAGGATGCAGCTGCCGCTGCAAGTTCAGCTCGCTCGAGTTCTTATCATTCAGATGCTGCGTCAATGTTTGTTGAGTGTCGCGCATAGACGTCAATTCCGAAAACAACCGCTTGACAAGAGCAACCGACTCAAACCCCACGATCTCGGAGTATCCTGACTCGTGCAGCTGCTTCTTAAGCTCTTGGAATGCCTTGTCATCCACAGTCTCAAACAGATGCTTTCTTGCACCACTGTGAATATCAACCTTGCTAGGTCGGGGATGTGATGTACTAGGCATGTATTTTGTTTTCATGTGAATTCTCTCCATGCCCACTAAACTCCCTGTGACGAGGATTCAGACAAAACATTAATCAGCACGAACCCGATTCTCTCATCTCATCTCCTCTCCTCTCCTCTCCTCTCCTCTCCTCGGTCTCGCCCCGCCCCCCCTCCCTCCCTCTGCCCTCCCTGCCCTCGCCATCTCACCGCCTTCATGCCCGTCGCACTTCCAACTACCAGTACGGTACCCTTCTTTGACTACCCTCTCACCCTCTTCAACTTTGACACCCCTACTTTCTATTGAAATTACCCCTTCAAGTCTTGGTACCACACAGTATTGTGGTCTTAGTACCCCCCTAAAACCACCCCACCTTCCACAACCACCCCACCGCTAAGAAAACTCAAATTCCCGCCAATCCTCTATCCACACGCCTACCCACCCCTCGTTTCCCCCTTCAATCACCCCTACCACCAAAGACCGGCCATTCAGACCACTGAAATGGCAGAGGTGACGGCCGGCGACCTTCTTGTCCGGGCCGCCCGGCAGGCCGTCCAGCGTAGTCCCCGGTCAGTGAGGGTCTGCGGGGTCATGTGGGAGGATCGGGGGCTTGAAACTGTAGAAGCATCCAAGAATAGCATCGTTTTGGAACAAAAAGTCTAAAATTGGAACCATTTTCTAATCTCTCTCCCGATTTCATCTTTTAAGATTTTACAGGCCTGTTAAAACAGATCTTTTAGCCCGAAATAGTTAAAACATTTTTAAATGACTTGGTAACGTGACAATGTCACGTTACTATTCTGTCACGGCGCTACAAGAATAAAAGCAATTTTTGAAGTATCAGAAAGAGTGATATAAATGGAGTCATTTCAAAAACTTGGTATTTTATTTATAAAACAATTTGTTACAAAGGAATGGGTTCCATAAATAGCATCCATAATGATGCATGGTGCAAATTGAAAGTTTTAGTCAATCATTGAAAGATCTACGTTTGAGCAGAAAAAGTTGTAAATTGAGAAAAGAGCATTTTAGCTTGGGCGCCCCTCGTGCGTGGGGAAGGGCATCCTCGCTCAATAGAAAAAAGAAAAGCAAGCAAACCGTCCTCTATTCCACCACTCCGAAGAAAAACAAAACAATGCATCTTTCAAAAAAAGAATAGAGAGCATATTGTCCCTAGGAAGCGCAGAAATTGCAAAAAAAAGGTACGTACGATCTGGAGGTTATCTGACAAACTCAGGTACAATATAACATTCTTCTCCAGATCGCATCGCTTCATGGTCATGGGTACAGTAGATCGATACGGGCACTGCAGTGGGAAATGCTGGGGTACAGGTACGGAAGATGAAGGGTGGGTAGGCAGGACAGAAATCTGCGTTGCGATGAAATGAGAGTGCAAAGATTTGACATTTTCAGTCGTCAATGGAAGTTTGTCGATTCATGGTCGAAATGTTTGCGTTCATATTCAAATTTGAAGATCACATATCCATTTTCAACAGAGGAATGGATGTTTTCAAGGAAGCCTTTGCACATCGTAGTTGCTAAAAATGTTTTAAAACATCCTCGGTGATTAAAAACTCATTTTTGAATTCAATCTGATTTGCTCGATCAAAAAACACAAGTGCCCCACCTACCCCACAAAAAAGGCTCTCTCTTGGTCGTCTGTGGGGTTGTGGGTACTTTTCAAACACCCCTGGTTTTGTGTGCAAAGTATCCCGTGGTGGACACGGCAGTTAGCCCCCCTCTACATACACCCCTACTTGCAAAAGGTACAAGGTAGCAGATGAAGGGTGGGGTATGTTGCCAACTTAACATTGCATCCGCCATCTTGAATTTCCTTCTGTGTTTGGAGGTACTTTTCCTAGGACCTGCTATCTCTAGTTGTAGGCCCCCATGAGGTCCATGGACCCCTTGCATCCCATTGGAGCTCACCCTACTCACACCTACCCCACCCCATTCAAATTCCACCCTCTGCCATGTTGAAATCTCATGAAACTTCACCGAATTAGTCCCAATTTCATGATGCGCCCGTGAATTCCAATTATCAAAATGCACAAACAACACAGAATCTCGAATATTTTGGAACAAAATCTTCAAATATCATCCTCTGTGGAGCATGATACCCCCCATTATGAACAAAACACTACCCACCCACCTAGTTTTTGGTCCAAACATGTATAACCCCACCCATTAAAATTGAACATGAACCCATACCCGGGAATATACCCCGAGAGGGTAGGGGTGGGAAACTACATATACTCGCTCCGCAAGTTTGCTCGGCAGCTCTCTGCTCCTCACTCTCCCTCCCTGACTCGCGTCAACCCCACCACCCACACCAACTCCGTTCAACCCTCTCCCACGTGGACATGGCGGCACATGCTTCGAACACGGAAGTTGTGGTTTCCTCTTTCTCATTCAAGACTGGGGCACCGGAGGCGAACCTTGTGGTGGACGTGAGGTTCCTGCCGGATCCCAGGCCACTCGAGCAACAAGCGCCTTCCTTGACGGGAAAGGATTCTTTGGTGGAGGACTACATTCGCGAGAAGTGCTGTTTCGATAGCTTCTTCGCTGTCTTGAAAGAGAAAGTTTCCCCGATAGTCGGTGATCTTCTTGGACGGGGCCAGCAGCGAATCGAATTCGCGTTTGGTTGTACTGCCGGAAAGCATCGATCCGTGTTCGTTGCGGAGTGCCTTGCCGAGTGGCTGAGACAAGAGGTCGGGATCAACAACGTCCGTGTTCTTCATCGTGAGCTGTCTCCGCGATCACATGATGAGATGATGAATGCGTTTTGCTCCCAACCGGATGTGGATATGGTGGAGGACGAGGCGTTCAATGCCTCAGGCCCAGTGTTGAGATGTACATACTATCCCGATTCAAACTCAATGGATATTCAAGAGATGCCTTGCTGTCAGCCTGTGACCAATCACGCTGCAACTGAGCAGCTTCTGGGTTGTGGACTCTCTAAGATTGCTGCACTTCGAGCGAAACGCCGAAGGGAATGCGAGGCACTTTCTTGAAATCCAAATGTAAATCTTTGTATATATCTTATTTTTTTCATGCACTAAGACCCATGGTCTGGTCATGTACAAGTCAATAGTTGAATAAATCAAGTCCTGAGATATCAGTTCTTGATAATTCATTTGTTTGCAAGGGAATCTGAAATGATATGTACGCACTGAGCAGATGGCATTGTGGAGGTAACGATGTTGTCACACAGAACCGGCGTGACTCATGTGACAATGCAGCGTCACAGTAAACTGTCTGTACTAGTTTGGGGGACAGCAGTCGGCAGGATTACTCCGGTTTGGTTCTCGCTGTCTTTTCTCTTCTCGCCGTTTGGCCTGTGCGACAGTGTCAGGGTCAAGCCTCCTCGACTCTCCTGATTGTCCTCGTACTGCTTTTTAACTTAACTTTGAGTACGAAGTAGTAGTGACCGTCTACTGACTCAGTGAGTCTGTACGGGCTCGGTTGGAACCGTCGGAACTGCCGTGTGCAAGCAACTGACTCAGGGCGGCGGCCGCGATTAGTACGGTAAGGTCCGATCCGGAAACACGCTCGGCTTCATCAATCATGATGTCACAGTTGCAGTCACCCTGGGCCGAGCCCGGCCTCAGCGGGCGCTGAGCGCGGCCTGCCACTGGGCTGGCCGCGTGACTGCCGGAGCTGATCGGTCGGACCGAACCGTACGGTAGTAGTCGGCACTGAGTACCGTACCGTACGCCGGGTAGTACCCGGGGCCTGCCATCATCGAGCCTGACCGTACTCAGTGAGTGCAGTGCTCAGTGCCGCTGAGTGGGCCCCGGCTCTCCGACGGAGTCCGGCAGCACTTAACTTTGAGCCTAGTAAAGAAACGGTACGGTAGTATCGACGGTAACCGAGGCTGACCGTTCTTGCGTTCAGTGATCGGGCAGTTCGGACCAGGGCCCCGGCTCAGCGCCGCCCGGCCCGGGGCCGCCGGACCCCAAAACGGTTTCAAGACCGTTACAGAGTTTGAACAAATGGCTTTGAGCAAACAAAGCCAGGTTGTGATCACAATAATTTTTGTTTGGAGGGAGCAGGACAAGGTCATGGCAGGGAGAGAAGAGCCTGCGAGGAGCAGACAAGCATTCACATGCGATTGTTGGCCCACCACACCTGCACTCGAGTGCTCCCAACCTTGATTGATCGAGATAGGCAGGTACCAGAAGATATGAGTTTGCGCAAGGCTGGTATCGGATTGAGTCTTGGAGCCGATCGCTCGGGGGTCTTCATACGGAGAATTTTCTATGTAATTTGTGTAAGAAGCATTGATTGTTCCTGAAGATATGAGCAGGATAGTCCTGCCCATTTCAGCGGAAGGATTGCAGTAGGTGACTACTTGGATGAGATCGATTCCTCTCCTGTTCAAGGTGGAAGAACGCGTCGGTAGCTCGTGCAAATCTTCTGCTGACGTTTTATGCAGATCTAGCAAGTGCACAAAGCTTGTTGTCGGGACCCGAGGACTCGCTCGTCTCCCTCAAAGTTCGCCATGGCACGATGAGGAAGTTGGATGTACAGGAGGTCCACCTCATAAGAAAGGTGCAGCTCAAGCCCTCGGAGGGCTCGGGAGATCTCTTCGGCATATCTGCTTCCCTGTGCGTGGTACGAGAGGGTGTTCGAGTGGACAAGGTCATGCCGGGAGGAGCAGCATGGATCAGCGGGCAGGTCGATGAAGACTTCGTCATCGTTGCCATCGACGGGAACAAGGTCACGGGCGGATACTTCCATTCGGACGAGATCGCAACGATGATCAAGGGGCCTGAAGGGACTCGAGTCAGCATTGAAGGATTCAGCCCGGCAGGAGAGGAGCGCAGCGTCGGGCTGGTTCGCATGCCTCCAGTGAACCCGAGGGTCATCGACAAGTATCGCAAGCAGCTCAACGAGAAGCTCGAGGCCTCGCTCTACGATCACCCGCAAGGATCTTCAGTTGAGGACCCGACGGGGTCGCCAGGCAACAAGGAAGGGACGAGGCCTGCATACGTGTCGAGCACGCCCAAGCCTGTGAAAGCCTCGAGCTTGTCCGAGTCAGAGCGACAGCGGGGAACAGAGCTGAATTCGCTGTTCCTCTCCACCCAGGACTCTCCGAAGCAGGTGGGGGATCTGGCCAGGACCCTCGCAAACTTCGAGAAGTGGCTGAGCGAGGAAGAGAGAGAGTGCGCAAGTCGCTTCAGGAATCTGCAGGTGAAGGTGGAGACGATCGAGCAGCAACTGGAAAACTTGGGTACTTTACAAAGAATATCGCAGAGACAAATGACGCGAACTATCAACGCGTGATCTCCATCGCATCATCTCAGAGGCTTGCTCTCGTGCGATTTAATTCTGCAGAGAGAGCAGCCGAAGCAATGCTCACCAGCTGCAGTCGAGCAGTTTTTGGCGTGTTTCTCGGAGCAGGTGCATGGCTTCACAAGCGATTGGGGCCTCTGGTTGGATCCTTCGGTCCAACCTTTGTGGCAGGACTCACAGAAGTGAGTGGAGCCAAAGCAGAAGAAGGTAGCTATGCTGCAGCAGAAGCGACACTTGTACTCCACGTACTGCACAGCTCATCAGGCGTCAAGAATCACGATGCAGCACTTTCACCTGGTCGCCATGTTGTTTGCAAGTTTTTCGTCCATTTCCAAGCTTGGAGGCGCTGCAGCTACCGCATATGAGGTCCTCGCGCTTGAACTGGTTCTCTTCTCCTCCTTCCTGTGCAAGGCAGTCTGCTATGCCTGAAATGAGAAAGTCAAGAGGCGAGGTATCGTGAATGATGGAGCCAAAGCACCCCCAAAGTATGGGCGCTGACAACGGTGGCAGAGGTAGAACTGATAGCGGCTGTTTGCAAGTTGCAAGTCTGTGGCCTGTCAACAAAGTTCAGAGACGCCAAGAAGCGAAGAATCGGTCACCTGATCTCCTTTGCTCAGTCCCTCATACTTGAGCCTCTCCAGTGCTGCCTCTTCTACTCTAGTACCCGAGAGGTATCAGCCCTTGAGCAGGAGTGGATGATCTCGGACCTGGTCTTGAGTTTGATGATCTTGTTCATGGTGGAATCGAAGGAAGGATGCTCGACCATGGCGCTGCACAGAGCACACCTGCGCGCATTTCTTTCAGAGGGCAAGCGCGGAATCCAGTTGCACTCACTTGGCGAACGTGAAGGAGATCTTAGAAGAAGTCCACCTCAGCTCAAGTCTCTTTGAGATGCAGTGCCAGTGAAAGATGTGTCCACACCTGTTCTCGTGTTATTCACTCCCACCCTGTTCTGACAGTGGACGTACCGCAACTGAACGCAGGGAGCAGCCCTGAGGTCTTCAATCCAACATAGATTACAGAACTCTGCTCCTTTGTCGTTGCACGTGAGGCAGGGTAGACATCTCTTTTCTCTCGCGATCCCATCACAACTGTACAGTCCATGTCAGGATCAACATCCTCTGGCATGAACGCGATTACTTGTGACCGCAAGTCAAACGTTTGCCACAGGCCTTGTTCTTCCGACGGATGCAGTCTTCTGATGTGCAGACAGCTTCTTGCGACGAGCCTCTCCAAGGCAAGACAGTATTGCAATACTTGCACCGCACTTTTGCTAGCGACTCCTTATGTTCTTCACACGTCTTTCCGGTGTGATACGGCATGGTCTTGCAGTCCAGACAGAAGTTCTCTCGACAAGAGCTGCAACGATATCTGCACTTCTGCAGGTGAAGAGCGTGCTTCTCAGACAGCAATTGGCCATCAGGTGCGATTCTCTCCGGAGGTTTATGTGATTCCTCCATCCTCTCAAAGATCTGCTTGCAAGCTGGATTGACACACCTGAAGAGCGTCTGATCTTGCAGCAGACGGTCAAGGTACGCTCGCGTGAGGCTCTCCTTCTCATGATCACATCCAGGTGAATCATCTTCCCCTTCGTTCCTTGGCGAAGTCCTTGTGTTGGCAACGACCTTGATGACATCCTCCTCCTGCAGGCCAGTCACTCATGCAGTGAATCTCTTTCCAAGGCTACAGCCTCCCTCATGTTCTGACTCACCTCTCCATCTTCGATTTCGATGGGTGGCGACTCCACCAGACTCCTGCTCCATCCTCGTCTTCTCTTGGTGCTCGTAACAACGTCTTCTTCTTGCGCAACAGACACGCTGGACGAGCTTGAAGTCGCCACATCGGCTTCCCATTCTGTCAGATCGATGAAAGCCTCTGCCTGGTGGGCTCGAACGGGATTATGGTGGTAGGGCTCCTCTCTCGCGGCTGGCGCTTCTACAGTCAAGTCGACAACGTCATCATTCTTCTGCCTCTGCCAACAGAACAACACGAAATGGACGTGTCAGCCGTGCATTGATGTGAAGGTCGAAAAACCAACCTTGTGGCCAAGAAGGAATCTCCCCAGCGCTTCCATGGCCCAGGAATCCTATATGATAAGCGCAGTCATCCAGGAAGCCATATCCTCTCGGTGCAATGCCGCCTGCCATGAGGATGAATTCCACGCTTTGCAATCGAACCCATCATCAGGTTCTCAAATCATTCTACTCCTTGATAACTCTCGTCGTTCTCTCATCTTATCGGCTTGGCACATCTCTTGGTCGTGTTTGAATCCCCTCATCATGCCTTACTACTCATCTCTCCTCCTCTTGTTCTCATGCCTTACTACTCATCTCTCCTCCTCTTGTTCTCATGCCTTACTACTCATCTCTCCTCCTCCATGCCTCGCTTCTCCTCTCTCCTTCTCCATGCCTCGCTTCTCCTCTCTCCTCCTCCATGCCTCGCTTCTCCTCTCTCCTCCTCCATGCCTCGCTTCTCCTCTCTCCTCCTCCATGCCTCGCTTCTCCTCTCTCCTCCTCCATGCCTCGCTTCTCCTCTCTCCTCCTCCATGCCTCGCTTCTCCTCTCTCCTCCTCCATGCCTCGCTTCTCCTCTCTCCTCCTCCTCCATCCATCATCCTGTTCTTCCGCTCGTCCCCTACGACATTCGTAGACCTAGGGCGGGTGGGGAAGTTCGAGGGTAGAGGTGGGTCACTGCAAGAAGCAGAGGGTTAGGGTAGTACAATCATCTTTGAAATAGAGGGGTATTTGAGAGCTTTCAGATAGGGTGGGGTGTGTATTGCATGGGGTACTTGTTCAAAAGGGGGTTAAACATGCTGAGAAACTGAAAGGGGTGGGGTTTGTTTCAGCTGTTTGCAACGTTTTGTAACGATTATAACCGTAAAAATAACTGCCGGCATCGCTAGTCTGCGAAGCGTCATGGTTTCACAGTGAGGAGCGAAGAGCAAGGAGAGGGAGAAGGACAGAGGGAAAAGAGCAGAGGGGAGGAGAGGGAAAAGAGCAGAGGGGAGGAGAGGAAGAGAGGTGGTTGAACCTAGTCAAGACTTCATCTCTTCACCACTGCATTCTTGTTGAGTGCATTTTGGAAGGCGAGATTGGACGTGGTTTTCGACTTTGGATCTTATCGATTACCTTGAGATGATTCTCAAAGGACTCCTGCTTTTCCTCGTCGTAATAGGAGTGTGTGATGGCGCAACTTCGTACAAGGCAGAGAGAATTACGGCAGCCGGACCTGTTGAATACATCAGCTCGGAACCTTTTGTAACAGCAGTTGGATGCGTAGAGCAGCTGAAGGTCACGTTCTATCCCATCAACGGAGTTCTCCCTGCCACAATCAACCTGTATAGGCTGGGCACCGACTTTCAGATCACTGCTTCCGCGGCTTTGATTGGCCCTGGCCGCGAACACGACATCATTTGCTGTTCGCATTATCCTTTGGACAGAAACGCAGTACTCAAACAACTCCCAGGGTATGCGAGCTCAACCTGTCAAGGTGGGGAATACAACCTGAACTACTTTGACTTCTTTCAGTGCTCGCTGTTGCAAGTGGAAACAGTAAATAATACAAAAGTAGCAACAATATATTTCGTCCCACCAGCAGGGAGTGACATAACATCGAATGGCTTTGGAAACATCACTTTCTCGGTTCAACCCATCACGGGCGAAGGGATAAAGACAGAAAGATTGATTGTAAATATCCAAATTCGTCAATGCAATGCTTGTATCAAAGCAGGCGAAGGACTCAATGCGTTCGCGAAAAGATTTTACACGCACTGGCTGCAGGTGAGGGCTTCGAGGTCTTGTATGTTGAAGGATGTGACTGTAATCGCATTTTGCGTGCTCAGGTGTACAGCTCAAATCCAGAAATCAACAGAAATCCGAATCAGATCGATGAAAACCAAGTGATCCGCCTTGGGCCGTTGTACTCGGTGAGGATAGGAGATACGCTGATGTCGATCGCAACCAAATTTGGGGTCACCGTCAATCAGGTACTTTGCATGGTGAAGGTGGATTGCATGCCTGCTGATAGACAGTGTTGACTTGTTTACATTCTCACTGATTTTCTCTGAACAGATTCTGTTTTGGAATCAATTCTTACGAAGTCAAGCGGTGAGTTGTAATTGAAGCTTCTCATCTGCTGACTTTTGCGTTAGAGCTACGCTTCCGATGGTTCCATACAGATTTCGCCGGGCTTGTCGCCAGGCCAGGTAATTAAGCAATAGCTACACAATCTACTCTCCATTTGAATGATTTCATTCTCTTCTCCTTCCATGGATATGTTGCGGCTCTAGTGGCTAACACTTGCGACACAGCTTATGTGTATACTACCAAAGACCTGCTACAACAGCTTTGGCAGTGCTCAGGTATGATTGGTTCCAACAACCATGAATGTTGTAATACGTCGTTTGTCAGCCAATCTTCAGCCAGAGGGAAGTCACTCAAGGGTATGGCGGTTCTGCTGGTCTACCTTATCAGGTGCTCCATGATGTTAGATAAGAGACGTTGAGGTTGACAAATGTATTTACAGATCTTAAATGGCACAAGTTCACCCTAGACAGTGTACGTGGATGTAGCCATAGTTAACGATAGAATTCCGTTGTAAATACAGACGTGATACACATTTGGTTGCTCGATACATGTCGTAGCTCCATGGATAAGTTAATCTGTACAAAAGCAAACGCACATCGTTTGAAGCTTAAGATTGCTGACTCTGCGATCCATGCTCGACTTCGTCTTCATCATCGCAATCTTCATCGTAATATTTGTCCTCTTTGCTATGGCTTGGTACACAATGATTGATACCTGAATGATATTCAGAGGTTTCGTACAAGCATGATAGAAAAGTACCAGTTATCTGTTCAATAGGTTCAACCACCTTCAAATTCCAGAACTCCGTTATCACTTCTTTTGCAGTTTGCCAGTCAGCATCAGCCTGCCTCTTTTCAATCTTTGAAGCTTTCATATCTCTTCTGTCCTTTTCCATCTTCCGGGTGTTGTGCAGCTCATCCAAAGTCTTCTTCTCTTGCTGTTGTAAGATGCCTACTTTGTTGAAGTTCATTCTGCCTCTAAGATCCTGCACTTTGATGTCAGCGCACGATACTCAAATACCCCAAGATCTCATGCAATGCCCTGCGGGCTCTGATTGAGTCCCTCTTGCTGCATTGTGGACACTTTCCTATCTTAGCATCCTTCTAACACTATCCCGCCCCCCTTGTTCCAATATCACTACGTGCTCCAATGTTCCTGACATGTGCTGTTCCTCCTAAATCCCTGCACACTTCCTCATGCATTTTCTGTTTCCATTCGACGTCTCTCTGAAGGATCCAGTTCAATTCGCTAGTTACAGATCCTCAAGTACAGGAGGTCTGCGGTTTCTCGTAGCAGGTTTCATCGTCCATCCTACTGTTTCACAAGATCCGAGCTGTCTCGATTCCATCTACATAATCAGCATTGTCTTTCATTCTATATAGTGTTTCTCTTGCCGATAATTCACGACTTGCAGTCATATCGTCTCCATTTTCCTTCCCCTTCATCCTCCTCTGCATCCATGCTTCCTCCCATCGCCTCACCTGCTTCACGTTCGCCTGCCCCATGACGGCAAAGTTAAAATACACCACCCACCCCCACCTTCTATCATGATGACCCCACCCCTCATCCGCCTGCCATCTCCCTGTACCCCCAACGGACATGAACACCCTACCGTTGACTACCCCTCTATTCGACCGCCTACAGCAATCCACCCCTCCACCTTCAGTCAAGTATGTCAACTTACGTACCCCTCATTTACTCCTCCACCCTACCCTACCATGATCACGACCCCGTGACTTTAAGATGTGACAAGCGTCATGCTGTCGCTCCCGGCCGGGCCCGGAGCCCCGGCGACCGGACCGGACTCTACTAGAGCCGCCGGCCCTGAGGCTGGCCTGCTGGGTGCTAAGGCGGCGGGCGTAACGGAAGGAAACGACGGCTATATCGGGTGAATGGCGTGAGGGTATCGAACCGTCGGCAGAAGCATCAGGTCACAAACAAGCCGAAGAGAGAGAGAAACAGGTGAAACAGGGAGAAGAAGATAGAGAGAAGCAGGTAGAGTTGCTCAGATTGCTTGTGAAGTGACAACCAAACTGAGGGACAGAGTTATGAATCACTAGGCTGTCAGTGCGGTGAGACAAGCTGACAGTGATACCTGTACCTCGTCGAGATGTTCTATCATGCCATGCACCTCCTCAACTACACAGTTTCCAAGGCAGGTGCGCTAGACCTGCATGAAGCCCAGTACTGCGCGTTAGCTGGAAGTAGAGATGCAGGAGTGGTCTGCAACTGCGCGGCTCGAGCAAAGTCATGTCCGGAGCCATCGATCGTAGGCACTACCCAGGGGTTTGCAGTGAAGCTTCCGAAGCTTGGAGACAGAGCCTCTGAAGCCGCGTTCATGAAGTCTCATCCCAACCTCGCGTACCTGGTCAGCTTTGCCTTGTCGATTATGTTCATCTGAATCTAAACTGCAGCACAAAAACCCATCGGTCAAAGGCAGGCTGGCTGTGGGATGCAGCACCATCAACAGTATCGCAGCTGCTGGACTGCCTGGATGTCCGTGAAGTCACTCAGTCTTTGATGGTTTACTTGTGTTGCTTGCCAAGACATGTCACAACGTGAGATTCCCCCTCGAGGTATCGCTGGATCATAGCGATCTCTTCGCCTTCTCTCTCGCTTTTCGCCTCCTCCTCTCGCCGGCATGCCACATGCATCGCGTATGCCTTGTAGGCTTTGATCTGTCAGCACTTTCACACTTGTGTCCCTCCTTTCCTTCCCTGCCTCACCCGCTGCTGCTTGTACCAGTCGTCCCCTTCCTCCATAACGCTCATGCTCTCGAACGCCACAGCGAGGTTCTTGAGCATGGCACTGGAGATGTGGGGGAGATGTCGGGAAGAGCATGCCATCATCTTGTTCGGTGTGAGAAGAGGGTCAGACGAGGAAAGAGAACCTGAGCAGCACAGGTCGTCGGAGCTTCTCTCCTCCATCCCGCCTTTTCCATTATCTCTCGACACCTGCCGCACTCTCCTGTCAGATGGGAAGCGCATGCCGCACGGGGTCGCCCTTGCAGGAAGATTGGGTTGCACTCGTCTCCTCGCGGAGTACCAGGGACAACTCCACAGACATCGGGGTCGAGAGCGTTCACCCGCTCCTCCTCGTTGCACTCTGACTCCAGGCACGGGAACGCGACCTTGCAGCGGGGAACCCCACTAGAAGGACGAGAGGAAGCAGGAGAAGCAGCAGGAGGAGGGAAGTGAAGGAGGAGGTGCGACGACAACTACTCGAATGTCAGGTAGAGACAGCAGAAGTTGAGGAGGGACCTGCATGAAGGAGTTGATGACTTCAACCATCGCGATCCGCTCCCACGAGCCTCCCATGCGAGTCAAGATGGCCAGCAGCTGCTGCTCCTCACCTGCGTCCCACTCCCTCCCTCCCTCCGGCAACCTGGGTAGGCGGAGAGAGGAGTCGAGCAGCAACTCGCGAGGAGGAGGGGGGGAGGAGGAGATACGGCTAAGCATTCCTGAGGGGACGATGGCATGTCGTTTCCTTTGCTCGTCTCAGCTCAGTCAGCAAGTCGAAGGAGGGGAGGACGTACGACAAGGAAGGGTCCAATGCCTCCAGCCCGCTGCTGAGGAGGAAGACGTGGGTAGCGCTGGGGAAGGTGAGGGAGGAGGAGGAGGAGGCTTGAGCTCGCAGAACCTGTTTGCCCGGAGAAGTTGGCTGAGGTTGTAGGCTCCCTGCTTACCTAGTGAGACGCTGAAGGTGGAGGAGAAGGAGGAGGAACCTGAGGGGGGGGGGAGAGACGAGTGAATCGTCGACCAGGGAAGGTCAAGTTAAGGTGATGAATGCTTGCTTGACGTGTATTGAACCATTCGTAGCTGTGAGGAGACGAGTCAGTGACATGAAGGAGATGGTATGACAGTATGATGATGATGATGATGATGATGATGATGATGATGAGATCGAGTTAGCTGGGGGAAGATCACGTCGGAGACAGGAAGGGGAAAGCGTCTTCAAGAGGGCTCGAGGAGAGGGGGGGGAAGAGAGACTCGAGACGCGAGAGCGAGCGAGCGAGCGAGCGAGCGAGCGAGTGAGTGAGTGAGGGAGGGAGTGAGGGAGGGAGTGAGGGAGCAGCACAACTCAACGTTGCCTGATATGCGAGAGGTCGAGTTGCTGGACGTCAGGCCGGGCATGTTCGCACTCCATGAGGTAGCGGATGATGTTGGTCTGCAGGTCCCCCTGCACAGCATGACGGAGGAAGAAACCTGAGAGTTGGACTCTACCTTGACTAGCACGACTCCTCCCTCCGGCACTGCGCTCAACATGTCGTGCCCGACCTGGAGGGTTCTCCTCTCATTCTCCTCCTCCCCACAGCATCCGCCACCGCCGCGATCACTACCAAACGCTCCTCCCCGCCTGCTCCTCTGTCTCCCTCTCCTGCTCCTCTCTTCATATATCACCTCCCACAACGTCCAATCGCGGCTCTTGTCGCATGCCTTCCAGTTCGTCGCAATCTGAAATGACATGCCCAGCAAACCGACCGAAATGACGAGAAACTTGAAACGAACACGTCAATGCTTCCTCCTCCCCCTCCTCTCCCCCCCCTCCCCCTCCCTCCCTCCTCCTCCTCCTCCTCCTCCTCACGATCCTCGCCTTATGTCTCTCCTGTCCTTTTGCCTCTCCCCATCATCACTAACACCAACACACCAGTTCTCATCTCCTCGACTCTCATCATTCTTTTTTCACCTCTTGTCTTCGCATTCCTTCCATCCAGTCGGCAGCAGAACTCGCTAGGAGGGCGAAGCCAACACCAACTAGACGAGGAGGATTCAGAGGAGGAGGAAACAACATCAGGTGACCGTAGAGATGGATGAAACAGTAGAGTTGCATCCAGAAGCGCGAGTGAACCTTCCTGTACCTTCCACGACACATCACGGTGGACCCCAACAAGTCAAGTCATCACAATTCACTGAGTGTGACGTGGGAGAGAGGGAGGTTGGCAAGGGAGTGAAAGCAGAGCAAGAAGTTCATCCAGGACGCAAACAATGTCCAGCCCAGCGCTGACACGTCACAGGTTATGCTCTGCTCTCCTAGCCTCCTGATCTTGGAGCAAGTACCTCGCGTCCTCCGACATCGCAGCATCTCCCAGCACCCAACAAGAGCGAGCAAGACGCCGACGTGACCAGTCTGGACAGGAAGGTCGCACAAGAATAGACCTGATCATGATCAGATCAGACAAGGCATCATCTAGCGTGCGTCAAGACCAACTCCTTTCCTCAGGCTCTCCCACCCTTGCCGCTCCCCGTCACTTCCTGCAAACAACTTCCACGTCCCATATTCCTCGCGGAGGACATGTTTGACCTGGACAGAGTCAGTCAGCCCTGCCGTCTTACTTGCTCAGCTTGCCCTCTCGTCTGTCTTACCATCCCACGCCATGTCGACGTGTCGCCCCATGCGCCACGCGGGGGATTCTGAGCAGCGAGGGCCAAGTAGAGGTAGGGGGAGAGGCCGAGAAGAAAATAGAAGAGGATCGTGACCAAGCACGATACCTGAAGTCATCTCAAGAGGCGTCGGAGCATGTTGTGAAGATTCTGACGATGAGAAGGAGGAAGAGAATCTGTTGGAGGAGCAGAAGAACGAGCAAGAGAAGCAACAGCCAAGAAGAGGTCGGGTATGTAGAATTGCATTGTGATGAACGCACCCGCATCATCCGCTTCCTGCTGTGATACAAGACACCACAGGCAAGAGGGAGAGCCACGAAGAGGATTATGTGCTGGTTCGTCATGCTCACTCCGAAGACGAAGGAGCCGACATAGGGGACGAGGGGAAGGCCGCCAGGCTCCAGCAGGTGATCGCATGTCATCTTGATCAAGCAGGAGACAAACAGGTTGTTGAGAGCGAAAACCTGTCAGATACATGATACTATGATACAAGGAAGACACGAAGATGACAACAACTGCCACTTCCCCTTCCGTCTTCTCACAAGGACAATCAACGTCTCACCTCAGCCTGCACGCTGTGAGACCATACCAGCGGACAGAAGGCATAGAAGCCCGCGGAGAGGTAAGCTGAGGAGAGCGCGATCGCTCTTGTGGTGACTGTTACCTGCGCTGCTTCAGACAAGGACGTGGAGGATCAGGGCTGAGGAGCAGAGGATGACCTCGAGATCATCCCAAGGTGTTGTTGAGCCCTCGCATGACACGTCAGCACAGACCACGAGCATGGTGCACCTTACAAGGTCACTGCGACGTTTCCTAGTGATATCGGTAGCGAGTCGTCTCACAGTGCTGAAGATGAGAGCTGCTGAAGCTGCCGAGGACAGGCCCGACAGCAGAGCAACCTTGGCTGTCCAGGGAGATCAGATGCCTCCTGCTTGTCCTCGATGATGACACCACCTGCTGGCGTGCCGCAGGGGAGCCATGAAAGCAAGAAATGCCCCAGAACCTGCTCGGAAGCGAATGAGCTCGGCACCTCGATCCTCCCCTTGACGCTTCACCGTATGCAGAGGGTAACCAGGAGGGTGCGGGATGCCCAGGGTGCAAGCTAGGAAGGACATCAGAGTACAGGCACAACTTTGCTGCTGTCTCACCTGCCACGATCAGCTCGCCACTGTCCCCCCCATGAATGGTCTGATACTGCATCAGGAGCGTCAGGAGACAAGAAGCGCACTTCCCAGTGGGGGGTTGGAACCTGCGTTGAGCAGTAGATTGAGAAGCTGATCAGAAACATCGTCAACGAATGGAAGTCAAATGCCATTGTGCAGGTGGTAGAGCAGGATGTTGTTGTTGTCGTTGCTGCTGCTGCTGCTGCTGCTGCTGCTGCTGCTGCTGCTGCTGCTGCTGCTGCTGCTGCTGCTGCTGCTGTTACGGTTTGAGGAGCCTTTCGAGGTTCAGAAGTCTCTGTCATCGCGGTTCCCGTTGGAAGCCGGGCCGCGTGATATCAACTTGCAGGCTGAAGTCTCAGGACAAGTGCCGTACCGGGCGTGCGAGGCCCTGAGATCATGCTCCGAGCACCAGGACCTCAAAGCTTCAAGGCTTGACACCGTGGCATGCCGCCAGTCTCACAGCCGCCGCCGCTCACACGGTGACAGGGGCGACCGTCGGACACAGCGGTAGCCGCATGGCGATGAGTCTCTCAGTCAAGATGGCGTTGCACAAACTTGAAAGGAACTTGATAAGCCGTTACATTTACTCAGCGACCGTTACGGTTGCAAACTTGGCAAGTTGATCAGACCCGGCACTGCGGCACTCCGGGGCGGGCCCGGGGCCCCTTCACGGTTCAGTTCGCCGCATGATTCCGAGTCCGGCGTAGCCTACTAGTGACTGCGGCTTTACTCAAAGTCAAAGATCAGTACCGGAGGACTTCCTTTACTCAAAGTTAAGTTAAAACTTGAACTTCATCCCCTGGCAGTACTAGCCGCTGAGGACCGTCCGACAATCAGGAGAGTCGAGCCTCAGCGAGAGCCTTGACTTTGACACAGGCTGTCGCACTGGCCAAACGGGCGGCGAGACTGAGAAGAGACTCGAAAAGACAGCGAGAACCAAACTTCCCCCGGGCCCGGCAAACGCAGGACAATCCCGGGGGCCAGCCTCGGCGAAGCGGACACGCCGGTACGGGTACTCCGGGCCAGCCCGGGACTCGGGCCTTGAGCTGACGAAAGATTCGAGGCTGGACCGGATGCGTTAGCAAGTCGGATCACCTGAGACGTCTTGCGAGGCCGCGAGCCTGAGAGACCATCCAGCGCAGCCGTTTCCGGAGGCTTGCAAGTTAGAAAAGACAGCGAGAACCAAACCTAATCCCGGCGCCGACTGCTGTCCCGCCGCCAAACTTAACTGATACCTTGGCACTTAACAGCGCGCCGCTGAGGAACTTTCGGAACATCCGGCCCCGGGACACGCCTGATCGGACCGCACGGCGAGAACTGAGAGAAAAGACAGCGAGAACAAGTTCCGAAGTTCACTGAGTGACTCATCATCGGATCGCGCGACCCTCAGGGCCTCCCGGCGGTCCGATGGGACCACGACAGCCGTCACGCCTTTGACTCATGGTCTGCCGCGACCTCGGGGGATGTGACGGGGGGACCTGACCTCCGTTGAAGGGACCTGACTAGTCATTCCGGAAAAAAGTGACTTCTCATCAGGACACCCTACCCCTAGACTACCCCTCCCCCTGCCAAATTGTACCCCTCCGCTTCTATTACAACCCCAACGGATGAGGACCCCATTCGTAGAGTACCCCCTGATTCGTGAGAGATTTATTGGGATTGAGGGGGTATGGTACAAAAGTGTATTTTAAAGATGAGGAACGTGAGCCCTCAAACCCACCCCCCCGGAATTTGTCAATCCCACCAGCCCACCCCAAGGGCACATCCCAGATTTCAAACTGAAGGGAAAAAACGGCCTCTTTGGAGGGACCCACCCTCTGGATTCTCTCTTGTAAGTACCCCTCTCCATCCTCGGAAAAGATCCTTGAGTTTAGAAGGTGTCATTGTAAAAAGTCGTCGATTCAGAATGGACCCCATCTTTTGACGTGGATAACCCACCCTCGTTCCACGATGCGACCCAGATCCCGTCATCAAATTTGAACTTTGCAACTGAAGTTTAAGGACCCGCCCTCCAAATTGATGATCCCTCACTACCCCACCCCTGATATGAGAGCAGCCCCCGGTTGCCGCTACGGCAACGCGAGCACGTTCATAATAAAAGCAGCAATGACTACCTTTGTTCTCCACTACCCCTTCTTCCCTGACCCTACTGTCATCTCATATCTGAATCAGAAAATAGGTGGGTAGTACAAACAAAGAGAGTTGGCGGAAGGGGTGGTGGTACTCACCACCGGTGATGAAGAGGGTCGTACGGGAGGGATGTTGGAGTAGAGGAATAGAACCTGTGGGTGGTTCTGGCTGTCGGACTTTTAGGCTGCGCCGATGGGTGGGGTGGGGTAGTCATCGGTACCAACTTTGGTTTTACCTTGCTGTTCGTGCGAGGAGGCTCCATAAAGTACGGGTGGTAGGCATAGGTGGCAAGGGGTGATGGCAGTACGGGTGGTGTCACATACGTTGCTGACCACTCGGTCAAAACAACTGGGTGGGGTATATCAAGGTGGGGTGGGTGTTTGTTGGGTGGTCAAGATAGTTTGGCAATGGTGGGGGTGCAGAGATGATTCAAGATACACGTGGGTAGTAGAAAGTCACACGGCCACAAGTGCCAGGATGCAAGGAGGACCTTTTTGCATCGATGATCGGAAAGAGATAATGATGAGGTAGACTATAGGGGGTAGGAGCCCTTGAGACTTTTCATTTTGTAAGTAGAAATTACACGGGTAGGTTGTTTGGCTATGGGTCCATGATCGAGAGGGTGGAACGTGGAGATTTTGCAGGGTGTACGGGGGAGAGCAAAGGGGTGTGGGGTCTAGGTTGATGGGTGGGGTACCATTTACAGGAGGTGGAGGTACATATATTTTTTTGTAGGGGGATAGGGGTGTATTTGGAGAGGGTGGGGGTACGGAACGTATCTGAAGGGGTAGGGTTCAGGGGGTAGGGTGGAAAGTGCGGCATTGGAGGAGCATTGGAGGAAAAGAGGAGGAACGAAGAAAGAGGCGTCAGGCGGTTCAGGGTCGAGCAGGTAGCTGATAGGAGAACATCATCTGCTTCGAGATCCAGTTAAAGGAGATCTTGGAATACCAGCAGCGCAGGGAAGGTATTCTTGGTTCAACCAGGTCGAATCGGATCAAGGGAATTTCCTAGTGTTTTGTGGAGTTGATCGAAATTACCACATCATCTGGACCATCTCAACAGGAATTGGACCAACAATTCATCTCGTGCGCGACGACAGATTCATTGCTGTGCCAGAAGCATGAAAGGAGCATGCTGTTGAGAGAATCATAAAAACTGGAGATTTCCCTCGTGAACATGGATTGTCCCATGGAAGAAATTGATCTTCAAGCCAATAGGGATGCTGGCGTTATTGAAACTGAATCCAGATCAAATCTGCAAACAGAAAAGGTAACTGGCAAGGAGGGAAATGCCTTGCGCAACACTGCATTTGTCAAACTTGAGGAAGTGGACGAAGTCAAAATCGTGGTGCAAGATTCTTGTAAGAGCACCAAGCTAAAAGACCAAGAGCAACATGAACAAAGCGTATGGCAGAAAATTTCGAATATTGATCCTCAAATATGGTGGGCGTTGATCGGAATACTGTTATTCATTGGTTTGGGAGCGATTTGTGGAACGCAGATCTATGAAACAATCATAGAAGCGAAAGATTGGTTTGTTAACGAGATTCCTATCAGTATTATTTGGTACTCGGTGATGTTCTCGTTGTCTTCGGCTGTTATGCTACCTTATGGTCCTTTCTGTATCTCAGTTGGCTATATTTATGGCTTCTGGTTTGGTTTGATTGTCCAAACAATTGCAATATTTACATCTTCAGCATTGATTTACTATATTGGGAGGATTGGCTTCAAGAGCAGAGTTGATCAGTACATGCAGAAGTACATCATATGGAAGGCGATGATGGCTGGGATTGAGAAGAGTACGTATGAAGCGGCCAAGATCAACATACTGCTGTGCTTCGTTCCAATGCCTTACGGAGTGCATGCGTTTCTTTTCGCGCTATCGACCTGCCCCTTTGTGCCCTTCGTGATCAGCTTTGAGATCGGAATGATTGGGCACACGACGCTGAACCTGGCGATTGGGGACGCCCTGGCACAAGCAACTTCCGAGGGAACGGATCTGTACACCTTGATCGGAGCAATCTGTGGGGTGACGGCAATGATCTTTACGATCTGGTACGGCGGTGTGCTTACACAGAAGATGATGGATACTTACATCCAAGAGGGAGGAGAAGCTGACGGCACGCTTCTTCACAATGCTTCTATGCACGGTTCAGCCACCGAGGTTCAAGTTGTAAACAGCAGCTCGGAAGGATCTTCAACATGTCATGAGAACACTTCCTCGGACAGTAGCATTGACTTGGAGCAGAACATCTTAATTGCTGAAGTTGTGGAGGAGGGAGACATGGAAGGGGGGGACGGGAAGGCAGATGAGGAGGACGAGAAGAAGGGATTAACAGAAGGTTGAGGTCAAGGCATATCATGTACAGCTTGATGATTTTTTCTGAAATTAAATCACCATGAACGAATATTCTTCACGGCGACTTGAAACAATCAACTATGCTTTCATCTGCAAAATGTCTTCCCGATTGCGAGTTGTTGGGGCACGACTAGTTCTTGTCTTGTCTGCCTTGAAGGGTAGGGGTAGTTGGAAAAGGAGGTAGGGGGTACACAGATGTGGGTATGAGACTCACTATATGTCTGGTACCCACCAATTGACTCTACTGAGTACGGGTATTATTGGGTGCTCAAGGGAAGAATATGGTGGGGTATAAGAAAAGAAGGGTGGAGGTGGTAGATTGGTGGGGTCAGGGGTGGTGGGGACTGATCGCAATGGAGGAGAAGATCTCGAGGGTGTATGAGGAGATGGAGAAGTTGAGGACGGAGAACTCCGCGCTGAACGACGAGATCAACGAGCTTCACCTCCTCCTCCTCGAACTTGGAGACCCTGACGAGAAGCCTCACCCCAAGCTGATCCTCCGAGGAGACACGTGGATCGTGGAGGGGCACGAGAGCACAGAGAACGAGCTGGTGGTGAACTGCTCCAAGGAGGAGAACGTCGAGATCGTCAAGTGCGATGGAGGGGAAGAATATTTCTGCATTAGGATACAGCCGATCGCCGGGAAGGTACCATGGTATGCGCGCCTTCAACCGAGATTTGACCCTTGCGCCACGTTCATCCCCTCAGGTACTCGTTGAGAACTGCAAGAAGCTCAAGGTATTCTGCAAGCTGAGTGAGATGGCGACCTCACATTCTCTTCCAGGTGGTGACGGAGTGTGTGCTGTACGAGATTGTCCTCTTCAACTGCGAGGTTCCTTCCTCCTGTCGAGCCCCACACGGGGTCGAAGCTCCTACTGACTTTGTCCTGCTGCTGCAGGACATAGTCCTGGTGGTCGGCGGGGAGTCTCCCTTCATCGAGCTCAACAACTGCAAGGGCGTCGGTCTTCTCCTCTCGCACGAGAGCATGGATGGGCCGATCGAGCTCGTGGGTCAAGTCACCCCCTACGACCCTCCCTGCTGATTGCCACTTGACAGGTTCGGAGTGGGGGAGTCGTGCTGACCTCGCCTCTCATCTCGCGAGAGAAGGTGACGCACAAAATGTGAGGAGGAGGCTGACGCTGTCCGCTCGTCGCTCTGACGATCTGCTCCAGGGTCTGCACGTCGGAGGAGCTGGAGGCAGGGGACAGGTTGTGGTTCTGCGGTAGGAACTTGACAAGTGCGGGGTGTGGGATCAGACGCTGATGTTGAAGTCGCAGAGATGCCGTCGTATGTTCAGATGAGCTTCTGGAACGGCAAGTGGTACGCTCGACCGACGAGCAACGCGGATAATCAGAGTTTGAGCTTCGAGTCATGAGGCACAAGAATTGGGGCGGGTGACAACAAGGGGAGTTTCAATGTACATTATCAAACTTGCTAGGATAGTCTGACTTCTCCGGGTGGATCCATGCGGGCAGTGGGCGGGTCTACGTGTACATCTTGGAGGAGAGAGAGGATAGTTTCTTCAACGTCAACCCCTCGTTCCACCGTTTCCTCACCCCCGAGTCCCTTGCCGTCCTCTCAAACCGCCTCACATGTTTCTTCGACGGCTTTTCTCGCCTTGGAGGTAAAATTGCATGTCATGCAAGAAGAGGCAGGGAGCAAGTCAAGTCACTTGTTGATCGCCGAGTCCTCTCGCAGCCTCTGCGAGTCCGGCTTCCACTTGCCCTTGCTCGCCTTCCTTACCGCTGCCAGTTCCTTCATCCTCTGCCTGCGCCGCAGAACGAGTGACCTCAACTCTTCCTGCATACCAGCAGGCTGGTACCTGTGCTCCTCAGTCTTCCTTTGGTTGGTTTCTGCCTTCTCGATCTGAAACTGCATCCTCGACCTGGAGCGACAGGTTCATCCCCTCCCTCTCCTCCGCTTTCGGACCTCGGAAAGAAAGTGTCGTCGCCTGGTTTCAGTCTGTTGAAAACCTGCGAGCTCTCCGTCACAGGCGAAGCGAAGCATCTCAAGAGCAAGTCCTACCCGCACTCGCTGCTTCTCTATGTGATCAAGCATCTCCTGGGCTGTTGCAAAGTAGCTGCCGTCGTACATACAACGGAAGGGCCTTTCCCTCTCCGGCAGATTACTGAAGAAACAAAATCATTATCTTCCCCCCACCTCCCCCCCCCTCCTTCTTCTGAAGTGTTGGTCTAAATAATCTACATCATCATGAGAATCTCCATCTTCATTTGCGTCCTCGTCCTCATCAATACACTGGAACATAAAACCCCGAAATGTATCACCTCACAATCTTCACAGCTGACTGCTCCTTGAAATCATCGTCCTGCATGGGAGGAGGCGGAAGTTCTGTGCCGATGAAATCTTCCGTCTGCCATGCCTTGGTGAGAGTCAGTTCAGACCAAACGATTGGCTCACCAGGGTGGCAAAGGCAGCGCTTGTTTGCGATGTTTGTTGCTGCAAGAGGGAATGAAAGTCAAGGTATGGCCCATCTCTGTCAAAAGTCAGTGTACCTGAATGAGAGATTCCAACTCAGGGTCTTCGTTCTGAAAGTCAGATGTCAGACCAGAAGATACATCACACGATCGGTTGGCATGACGTGGGTCGTGATATCAAATCATATTTCCTTACATCACCTCACATCACATTTTTCATCATGTCATGCCACGTCAAAAATATGAATGTGCTGAGCATCACGACGCGACTTCAGAGATATGGACTAGGTCGTTCACCTCATCATCATCATCATCATCATCATCCTCGTCTTCCTGCTCCTCTTCCCCTTCTGAACAGGACATGCTGTCTTTGCGTTTGCTTGCGCCTCGTTCCAGCCTCGCCATCTTTGCATCCGCCTCCTTGTTAGGCTGAGCATTTCCGATCTTCTTCTCTATGATCTTCTGCTCTTTCAGCTTCCTCAAGTTCTGCAAATGTCTCGGAATGAGTCCTTTACACAGCGGAGGAGGGGGACGGGGAGCAGGAGGACGAGCACAACGAGTACCTCTATCTCTTGCATCAGCTCTGCTATTCGTTTCTTCTTGCTCTCAAGCTCACTTTCTTCCTCATCTCCTCTCAAGGATTGGCTCGACCCTGTTGCGACAAGGGACATCAGAACTGAAGTTCAAACTATATCACTGCTCACTTCCATCATCTTCCAAGCTCTCATCGTCAACTTCGTCTTCACTAGTGCTGTCTTCCATGTCCCTATTCTTACGCTTGCCCGGTTTTGATGCGCCTTTTAGCTCTTTCCTCTTCGTCTTCTTCTTGGCATGTTGCTTTGCATCGCTTCTGTGCTGTGAGGATGCTTCTTCGTCCACATCCTTCATCTTCATCGTCGACGCCTCACCATCGCCGGTCCCAGACGCATCGTCGGATCCTTCGTGGGAGGACAACTTCTCGTGGAATATCTTTGCCAACTCTGCAGAATTTCTGAACTTGTTTGTCATACCCTCTCCAAAACTTCCATAACTCCGACGAAATGCTGCTTGCCAGGTCGAGTGCTTCGTGTCTGAATCTCCCGAGTGGTCGTCTGCATTCGCCTCTGTCGTCTTCTTACCTCCACCCCGTAACCTGGGGCCGTGAAAATTCAGCAGACATCAGTGATACTCTTTCATCTTCTTCCCCTTACTTCTTTCCTCCCATAGTTCGTTCCCCTCCTTCCTCAGTTCTGCCTTCTCTACGATCACTCTCCCCTACTATCAGCCCCTCGTTCTATCATCCTAGTCCCTTCTCCCTCCCTCCCTCCCTCCCTCCCTCCTTCTCCCACCCACGCACGCACCCACCCACCCACAATCCCTCCCTCCCTCCCTCCCTCCCTCCCTACTGCCATCCCCCTTATCGCTCCCCGCTTTCCGCTATCTCCCGCCTCTCTCTTCTCTCTCCTCCCTTTTCTCTCTCTCTCTCACCTCAGCATCGGCTCCTCCTTCATCGCCATCTCCTTCATCGGCTCCTTCTTCATCGGCTCCTCCTTCATCGCCATCCCCGTCGCCACCAACCACATCATTGCGACTCCTGCCATGCGCATCCCGGATCACGCCCAACCAACACATTTTCATCACCCTCATACTCAGTCCTGGTGCCAAATCTACTTGAGTGATAAAGATCACTAATGAGAAATTGCTGTCTTTTACATTTGATATGCTATTGCTCTCCGGCGAGCTTGGTACCTTGTTCCTGTCGGACGTGTCATGGTGTGAAGCGACGGGTTGTGGCGACAGCCATGAACGAGGAAAGAGAGAGAAGGAGAGGAGAGGACAAGATGACAAGCTAGTGAGAGGATGAGGCAGTGAGTAGAGCAAGCAACAGGGAGGTAGGCTGACAGAGAGTGGGTCTTGAAAAGTGGGAGCGATCATTTGCGAGGAGACGTGGGGTTTGAGGTGACCGACCTTGAGACCGACCTGGCGCTGTGGCGGGGAGACGACGACATGCTGGTGGGATGATCCTTTCATGGTCGTTGCAAGGTCCCTGACTCTTATCAGATTGACGGAGAGGACGCGTATAAGTATCCCACCTGTCCATTGAAACTCTCTTCACACCTTTGCCTCCCAGGACGGCTCCCGGCATGGAGGCGCTGCTCGATGAGAAGGCCCTACTCTCGTCCATGGCTGATTGCACAGTCGAGGAGGAAGCAGACAAGGGGCCGCCAGAAAACCTTGTGAGACCTGGTGCTGTTGCGTCAGGGAGAGTCGTTTGACTTGCGGACAGGATTCGTTTGTTGTAGATGAGTGGCCCAACGACGATCGTCCGCGCGAGAAGGCATGCCTGCTTCCTCTCCCTACCAACCTCATCTCTCTCTCCCTCTTTTCTCATCTCCCCCTCCTTCTCACCTCCTTTCCCTCGTCTCCTCCTCCTCCCTCCTCCCTCATCTCTCACTTCATCAGCTTGCTAGTCTGTTTGCAGGTAACCAAATCTGCAGGTCTCGATGCAGCTGGACAACAACGACTTCTACGACGGCGAGGTACTGGACGGGCTGATGGACGGGCGGGGACGATACACGTTCTCCGACGGGTGAGAGAGACGATCGTCTCCTCGTCGATGACGTGGTGATAGGAACGTCTACGTCGGAGAGTGGGTGCGAGGGAAGAAGCAGGGGACCGGCACCTTCACCTGGTCCAACGGCGACGTCTACGAGGGAACGTGGCTAGACGGCAAGATGCACGGGTGATGCCCTGCTGGTGGTGGTGGTGGTGGTGGTTGTGGTTGTGGTGGTTCTAACACTCTGCGAGCAGGCATGGGAGGCTTGTGCTCAAGGACAAGTGATGCTCCTGCTGCTTGTCGCTGCTGCCCGTGTGACCTTCGCTGGCAGAATGATCTACGAGGGGGAGTGGCAGGAGGGGAAGTGCCATGGGAAGGGGAACTGCCGTTACCAGAACGGTCAGAGGAGGCGGATCGAGCTCTCCCCTCCCTCATGTTCACGCAGGCGACAAGTTCTCTGGGGAATTCCGGGATGGTAAGAGATTCGGCCAAGGGAAGCTCGTACAAGTAGAGGTAGTTTCTATCCTCCTGCTCCTGCTCCTGCTCCTGCTCCTGCTCCTGCTCCTGCTCCTGCTGCTCCTGCTCCTCTTGCTCCTCACGTTCTTTAGGGCTACACGTGGGAGGGAAACTGGCGGGGCAACGCGATGGAGGGGCAGGGGACCTGCAAGTATCCTTCAGGTGAGGCCCTCTGCTCTCTGCTGCCTCTGACTGACATGACGCGGTAGGAGATGAGTACGAGGGCGAATGGAAGGAATCAAAGAGACATGGGAAGGGCATACAGGTCCGTCCTCCTCCTCCTCCTCCTCCTCCTCCTCCTCCTCCTCCTTCTCCTCCTCCTCCGCTTCCTCGTACCTCTACTCTCTGCCGTTGACGCCTGAACGTCATGGCAGCGTTA